AAAAAAAAAAAAAGCTTTATTGATTATTATTTTTTTACCCGGGTTGGTCGGCGTGCGCAGAATGTGGCGTGTTAGTTATTTTCTCCCAGGAGTCTCTCTTTCTCTGTTATTAGCACCCTGGGATGAAGGCCCAAAAGGCAAGCGTGCATTGCGTTTGCCAAGAGCTCCCTCTAGAGTCCGCCGGCGCGAACGACCGTACAGATGGAATTTATGGATTTTAGCTGTTAACGCAAAGGATGAAAACTCCCAGAATCGATATTATTGTTATGTTTTTTAGAAGATTCAGATAATACTGCAGAGCGGAATTTTGCAAAGACGGCGGCGTAAAACAAATGAAGCATCTAGCCGGTGCGAAACCGAAAGCCATTCATTTGTCAATGGATATTGTCCAACCAGTTCACAAGCCCAGTTGTTTTTATATTTTTATGTGCAACATTTTATGCATAGCGTTTCAAAACATATTCTTTTTTAAACTTCATAGAGGATAACACGATACCATTGTACTAAGAATGCTAGTTGCCTGCCTGTCATGCCTACCTGTTGACTTCAATATTTTGGGCAGCACAGTGGCTTAGAGGTTAGCACCTCTGCCTTGCAGCATGGGGGGTTCCCGGTTTGAATCCTGGTCAGGGCACTATCCTCACTATCTTGTGTGGGTTTCCTGCCATGCTCTTAAAACATGCTTGTCTAAACCAGCCTGTATGCAGGTGAGATAGGGACCTTCAACTGTAAGCTCCTTGAGGGCAGGGACTGATGTAAATGTGAAGTACACCATGATCCTTCAACAGGTGGTGGTCCATTTCTCTTCCTTGCACTGTTAAATGTGGGTAGTTACTCCTTCCTTGGCTGCTGGTTCTGCACTTATAACAATGTAGGTGTGATCAATCAGAATGGATGAATCAGAAGCAAGGAGATCCTTGCACTGCAGGTAGAGAGTTCTCTCCAGAAAGGGGAACAATGAACTCAAGGATCTCCATGTTTCTGAAGCAGTGTCTGTGCTGGTACGACTCTTTTTCACCTCCCTACATAACCATATATAAAGCCAGTGCTGGACCTTCAGGCCCCATAGCAGTCACATAGTCTGCTTCACCATATATAAAGACAGTGCTGGACCTTCAGGCCCCATAGCAGTCACAGGGTCTGCTCCACCATATATAAAGCCAGTGTTGGGCCTTCAGGCCCCATAGCAGTCACATGGTCCTCTTCACCATATATAAAGCCAGTGCTGGGCCTTCAGGCCCCATAGCAGTCACATGGTCTGCTATGGATATAGTTTCACCTTTAAGATCAGTTCGCTTTGACTAAAATCAATGATTTCGGTATAGATTTAGGAGCTGCAGTAGACCACCCAATACATTGTTTGCTTATTCTTGTAGTCTGATGTTGATGTTCACCATGGATTCTAATATCTCTATCGATACCTCTCCACAGCCAGGGAGTTTGAAGGTGAGGAGGAATATCTGGATATCCAGGGCATCACCCGGGAACAGTCTGGAAAATACGAGTGCAAAGCCGCCAACGAAGTCGCCTCAGCCGATGTGAAGCAAGTCCGAGTCACTGTGAACTGTGAGTATCCTAGGAATATGCCATTGAAAGTTTTGTTTTGTTGTATCTCTTCGATAAGTGTAAAAAAACATACCTGTTGATCTGACAGAAATCACAGCTCTCTTTGCACTACAGAACACCTCACTGTGTTATGGAGATGAGGACAGGGGAAGGTTTTTTTTTGTAGTCCTGTCCTAGGATGACAACACTGCTGCTCGTGGATACATTACCGTGAGCGTGACTGACCACTTATTGCCCCGACTGGGTACCCCCACCAGAAATCAGCTTCCTCCCTGCTGGAACCCGAATTCCAGTGTCCTCAGCCCAAACCTGCCCAATTATTGGACGGAACCATTATAATAGGACAGCAAACTAATTTCGGAAAATAATAAAGATTTACCTCAAACATCCGGCAACACCAATGTTGAAGTAAAAACATGAACTGACTTTATTGAAAAACAACTCAGTGTTTATACAGTTCTTGAAGTCTAAACCATAATACAATCAGACATTCAAACAATGCAAGCCGACCATCCCTTCCCTTGTCCCTTAACCCCTTCGTGACGGCAGACGTACACTGTACGTCCCGCCACAAAGGGACCAAATGACTCGTCTCACGTAGGGCTGGTAACCGCTGAGAATCAGCGCTTACCATTCATTCATGGATGCCTCAGCATAGAGGCATCCATTAATGAAAGGGTTAACCTTTTTCAGACACCTGATACCTTAATATCGGGTGTCTGAGAGTCAAAGCAGAGCGGGCAAACATGCCGGCAAAAGTCGGCATTCTGACAGCTCGTATAGATCTAGAGATATCTATCTCGGATGGTATACTGGCGCTTTTTTTTTCTTTCACTTTCAGCAATAGATACATAATATATCTATTCCTGAAAGAAGAATGTTTCAGTTTTCTGATCGTTGTTGGAACGATCAGAAAACTAGTGACAGCTGAATCCTGAACTGCTGCAGGATCAGTGTCACTAACTTATTATTGGCTGTTCTGAAGTTTGAAGCAGCCTAAAGGTGCCCACACACCTTACAATTATCTGCAGATTTTCTGTGGTCAGATGGAAAAAGTGCAACAGATTGGCCCAGGTGGAGATTACTCCAGCCACACAGTTTAGTGTAGATGGAGGAATCTGTTGCACCTTTTCCATCTGACCACAGAAAATCTGCAGATAAATTGTAAGGGCTATGGGCAGCTTAATAATAACCAAAAATGTATTAATTTCTCAAGCAGTAATAGTGAGATTAATTCACAATGACTGCTTGATATAATTAAATACATAATTTAATAAAGACATTAGTCCATCAAGTCCAACCTATTAGGATCTCATTCTAGGAGTACCTGCACCCCTGTATATTACGCTCCCTTAATATAGGGACCGTAAGAGGTTTTATTTATTGACTTGCATTGTGCCTTTGAACTTGCTGGAAAGTTTGAGTACTCCAGGAAGAGTCAATTCCCTTACACAGCCACCCTCCTTCCTTGCACCCCATTGCCCCAGCCGTGTCACCAGGCCGGGTGTCACCTGGTGCGCCTATCATTACGTCTGCAAGTGACGTCATTACACAGGTGCGAAATGACGTCACACGCACTTCGCTGTTGGTGGCCATCTTGGTGATAGACGCCAACACAGGGAGGAGGGGACTTCATCCAGCGGGATAAGGTATGCCGCCGGGTCCCCTCATCTCTCGTGCAGCTGTCGGGCTCTTGGTCCATGATTGAGTGCCCCACTTTTCAGAGGGTGTGGCAAACGGAAATTACCAGCAATCAACCCAAAGTGTGAAGTCTTTCTGCTTTTTAATGAAGTAACATGTCACAAGAGTCAAACAGCTAACGGTTAGGGGCCACACAGGGTCCCTTCTTCAGGGCAACATAGTGGCTGTCAGTCATTTTGGTGTCACCCCCTCTGGTGACATTCCGAAGCAGAATGGTGTGCGGACAACATTTCTTCTAGACCCCCTCTGTTGGTGTCACCTGTTGCGGGCAGCACCCTCTGTGTGATGCCACTGCATAGCCCTCTCCCCTTCTGCGAGTGTCTAATTACTTTCTGTTCTGGGCCAGCTCCTCTGCACCTCCACTCAACCCCCTACATACATTTTTATGTAGCTGCCAGTGAAAAAGAGAAGGGGGTAGCAAGAGGGTAGGAGTAGCAGGGGTAGGCAAACTGCAGCCCTCCTACCCCTGCTAGAGAGTGTAACTAGAGCAACATTTCTAAATCTGTTTGTGTAGCTTCCAGGGAAAAAGGGAAGGGGAATGGGGTAGTGGTACCCAGGGGATAGGGGTAGCCAGGGGAGCAGGGGTAGGCAAACTGCAACCCTCCATCTGTAGTGCAACTACAAATCCCATGAGGCATTGCAAAACTCTGACAGCCACAGCCATGACTCCTGGAGGCATATGCATGATGAGATTTATAGCTTCACCACAGCTGGAGGGCCAGAGTTTGCCTACCCCTGCTATAGAGTGTCACTTGAGCGACAGCTCAGAGTGTACTGGGGCTGCCGACATCACATCCAAGATGGCGGCACCCAGCAGCAGTCTCGAGGTTTTTTTTTAATGTCTACACAAGGGAGGCTTTTATTGGTTACTAACATGTATATGTTAAATGCACATATAATCTCATGGGCATTCTTGTTCAAATGGTCTGGTGACAGGGTCTCTTTAAGGACATTGTACAATCAGATTGTAACATTTGGCTCTCCACCATCTACTCAGGGCCGGATTTCACACAAGGGCAACCAGGGCCCGGCCTTACTGCAACAGGGAGTAGAGGGGCAGCAGGGGTGTGGAATTCCTATCTCCCGATGCCCGGGACATGCAGTTGCAGGCGCTGGGCGGGTAGTTGTTTTCTACATTTAGCCCTGCTTTGGACAAGCAGAGCTAAATATACAGCGGGGAAACCGCTGATTGGGGGTTGGCGAGTAGGGGGGCGCATTGAGGAACCTGGCCTTGGGGCAGCAGAGAGAGTAAATCCGGCCCTGCATCCAGTGGCGTAACAATCGCCATAGCGACCCAGGGGGGCCCGGCCAGGGCATCCCTTTGAGGCCGTGTGGGCCGCCTGGGTCGCTATGGCATGTACTGGCTGTCCCTGACACTCATGTGTCAGGGACAGCCAGCAGCTACGGCAGAAGAGGCCAGCATTCGCAGTGAAGGAGGAGGCGGAGCCCGTCAAAGAGCAACCCCGCCTCCTCTTACATCACTGGCCAGCGACCTAAGAGCAGATGGGGCCAGTGATGTAAGAGGAGGCAGGGCCCGTCGATAGAAGAGGAGGCGGGACGGAAGAGGAGGCGGAGCCCCGGTGACCACGAAGGCGGACAGCGCTGACAGGTAAGAGGTGTGCAGCCCATCTGAGACCCTGCAGAGCCCACTATAGTCTATGGTGGGCTCTGCAGGCTCACTCTCAGGTGGGCTGTTTGGTATATCAGGTGGGCTCTGCAAGTGGCATAACTAGCAATCACGGGGCCCCATACAAAATTTTGCTATGGGGCCCTGTGATTTCTAGTTACGCCCCTGCCTGCATCTACTATTATTTTTGGGGGGTTGGGTAGCACCTGCAAGCAGTCCTTTGGTCTAATAAACCTTTTACGGTTTCCTTGTCCGGCACTGATGAGCTCAGCACACATATGATCATCCAGCTCTGACCGAGACAGCTGTAGACGCAGAGCTTCTGTGATGTCATAATGGCCCCGAGACGCCGAGCTCCTCCGAGTATGAAAATGATAAATAAATGCAAAACCACAAAGGACACAATGATCAGCCAATAACCGAGACTCGGCTTTTCATTACATTTTGTGCTCCTCGTGTCTCCAATCTCGGGCATGAATGTGATTCTCCTAATGTAGGTTTACCTGCGGGCCTTGCCGACCGTCTCAGAACACAAATAATGATTGCTCCGTCTGTGTTCCGTCTGACGTTTTTATTCATTACACGCTTCAGCAGTAATTCAGCTCACAGGTTTACAGTAACAGTGCCATTAAAAAGGAAATGTCCAATTCGTTGAAGATGTTGTCTCTGCTAACTGCGGAATTCTCCGATCCCCATCTCCATAACTAAAGTGGACCTGTCATTAAAGGTGACCTTAAAACAATGCAAGGTCTGCTTCTTTTGTAGCACAACACAAATAAGCATCAACATTTAGACCCGGCGATGTCATCACTAGGTCCCTATGCTTCTCTATACAATGCAGGCAGATTAAGGCTGGTGGGAGGGGCCGGCAGGATGCTGTACATAGCTTCCTGCAAACATCACAGCACCCTGCCGGCCCTTCCACCAGCTATGATCTGCCTGCTGTTGTATAGTGCATTGTTCAGTACTTTAACCCCTCAGCACCCAGTACCAAGCTGATATAGGTTAACACCTCATCAGTTGGCAATACATTTGCTTTAACCTCTCAGCACCTATTCCTCTGCTCATGTCTAATGCTAAAAATGCATCAATGAATCAGCTGCCAGGACCCAGAGCATGTGTAATAACCCCTCAGCACCCAGTCTCCAGCTCATCTGCGATCGCTAACATCCCCACTGACCCTGCTACAGTAGTAATCCTAGCTACACTGCCTTTCAGAACACCCCCTGTGTGAAAAGATTGGCTACCACGATAGTACTCACTTTGTCAATGGGTGCCAAATGCATTATGGGGTGCATTACTCTTTCCCTGTCATTTACCTGTGTGGCTCTGACGATGTGTATATTTAATCATTTTGTTGCTAATTATGGAAAGATCAGTAACCACCAGAAGGATAACTCTTCTGCCTGCAGTCATATTCTCTCCACTACTCTCCCCCTGAAGATACTGCCCCCTGTCATATCCCCCACACTGCTCTCCTGTACACACTGCCCCCCGTCATATCCCCCACACTCCTCTCCTTTACATACTGCCCCATGTGTGTGTATGTGTGAGTGAGTGTATATGTGTGTGTACAGTGTGTGTGTGTGTGTGTGTGTGTATGTGTGTGTGTACAGTGTGTGTGTGTGTGTGTGTGTGTATGTATGTGTGTGTGTACAGTATGTATGTGTGTGTGTATGTGCGTCAAGTTGCTCACAATTGGGAAATGAACAATTAGGATTCGGTATAGCTTCCCTGCAGAGGAACATGTTGAGGAACCAGCAATGATTGCAGGGATGTCATTGTGTTTTTGCGCTCAGCTCCATTTTCTTCACGTTTTCCTTTACTAATCCCCGTCTCCCCGTCGCATTCTTCGCGTCTTTTGCTGGCTTCATCATTTAGATACAAGCCTCATTTTTTAAGAATGACTAACCGAAGGGCATGCTGCGGACACAATATTATATTATATTCCCAAAATACATTTATATATATTTTAAATAAAAATGCCAAGGATGTGCGCTCTCCGGAGATTTTTACCTAGGGGGAGTGAAGAGCAGCGATTGGAAAGGGAAAGAAAAGACTTTCAAGAATAATCCTCATTATCGCACTCTGGACTTTCTCAGAGAAGAGATAACACTAAGAATATGTGACAGAACAGAGAGTGTGACGGCGGAATGTTCCAGAGCAAGGCAGGCTTAAAGCTGAACTCCGGGATAACCAAATATTGTCCTCGTACAAGATCCATGTGTGTTCTTCCTGGAATCTTGGTGAGCTTTGGGTATTTCCTCCAGATCTGTGCAGTGATCTTGTGTGACACTAGGAGATTCCTATAATAAAGACCGCTCACTGCTGCTCTCTCATTGTGCATGGGGACTGGTCTTGTCTCCACCCCCTCCTGTAATAAAGATCGCTCATTAATACTCTCTCTTCTTGTGCAGGGTGACTGGTCTTGTCTCCGCCCCCTCCTGTAATAAAGACCGCTCATTAATGCTCTCTCTCTCTTTGTGCAGGGGGACTGGTCTTGTCTCCACCCCCTCCTGTAATAAAGACCGCTCATTAATACTCTCTCTCCTTGTGTAGGGGGACTGGTCTTGTCTCCACCCCCTCCTGTAATAAAGACTGCTCATTAATACTCTCTCTTCTTGTGCAGGGTGACTGGTCTTGTCTCAGCCCCCTCCTGTAATAAAGACTGCTCATTAATGCTCTCTCTCTCTTCTTGTGCAAGGTGACTGGTCTTGTCTCCGCCCCCTCCTGTAATAAAGACCAGTCACTGCTGCTCTCTCTCCTTGTGCAGGGTGACTGGTCATGTCTCCACCCCCTCCTGTAGTTTCCTGTAGTGGGTGGGGCCTGCTAGGTCCCTCTTACAGCTATGCTCTCTGCACAGGCAATGTGCAGCACAGTGATGAGGTCACTGTTACTTTAATCTAGTAGCAACTGGGCTAGCATAGGTGTTTGGTGCACACAAAGTGGATTTATATGCTGGTGGGTATTAATAAGTAGGGCTGCACTGATATCGTTTTTTTGGCATCGAGTATGAGTACTGACATTTATATTTCGGTACTCGCCAATACCGGGTACCAATATGGGTACTTCTAGTAGCATGGAGCCGGCTTCCAGGGCAATCAAGAAGCTGGGCAGCGTGTCATTACCCACTGCCCAGCTTCTTGATTGCCCGAGAAGTTGGCTCTATGCTGTTTGGCTGGCTCGATATTGATTAGCCAGGAAGCCGGCTTCCCAGCCAATCAGCATGGACATTTGGCTCTCCACCATCTACTCAGAGCCGAATTTCCCACAAGGGCAACCAGGGCCCGGATTTACTGCAGCAGGGAGTAGAGATTGCATAGAATGCATGGACATCGCCGTGATCACTTGTACAAAACAAGCGGCGGCTTCCCAGCTGTACATTTAGCTCTGCTTGCCCAATGCAGGGCTAAATGTAGAAAACAACTACCCGCCCGGCACTGCATGTCCCGGGCATCGGGAGATAGGAATTCCACACCTCTGCTGCCCCTCTACTCCCTGCTGCAGTAAGGCCGGGCCCTGGTTGCCCTTGTGGGAAATCCGGCTCTCAGTAGATGGTGGAGAGCCAAATGTCCATGCTGATTGGCTGGGAAGCCAACTTCCTGGCTAATCAGTATCAAGCCGGCCAAACCGCATGGAGCCAACTTCTCAGGTGTAGAGCAGTTGGCTCCATGCTGTTTGGCCGGCTGGATACTGATTAGCCAGGAATCCGGCTTCCCAGCCAATCAGGAAGCCTGGCTGGGAAGCCGGCTTCCTGGCTAATCAGTATCCAGCCGTCCAAACAGCATGCTGGCCTTTTTTGAAGGCTCAAATTACAGGGCTATCATCTGCACCCTTCGCTTTTGCTATTTAGTGGGTCACTGCCAAGTATGGAGCCACTAGACTTGTAACTTACCACCTGCATAATTGTTTTGGCTCGATGGTTCATTGGTTAGTTAAGCAGGGAAGAGTATGACATTCTATGGTGGAGCCAGCAACTTGGCAATGGCTCCCTACTTGTCTTTTTTTTAATGCCTTTTTCATACCTCGTCAGTGACGAGGGCACAATATGCAGTATATGAGTGTGTGTATGAGTGTGTGTGTGCGCGCGTCAGCGTGTGTATGTGTGTGCGCGTGAGTGTGTGTATGTGTGTGTTTGTGTGTGCGCGTGTATTTACCTTGCAGCCTGTCTCAGCTTGTCTGATCTGAACAAGACTCACTGTATGGGTCCCTCAGTATGCCATCATCCAGTGAATGTCCATAATAATGTGTATTTATGTTATTCCACAGACCCTCCCGTCATCACCGAATCCAAGAGCATCGAGGCCTTCGCTGGCAAGCAAGCTTACCTACGCTGCGAGGCCTCTGCAGAACCCAAAGCAGACTTTGAGTGGTATAAGGATGATACCAGGTAAGTACACTGACCTTCATGTCCATGCTGTGTATAATTACAACAATGTTGTATCGTTGCACTGTAGGTTTTAGGCTACACAAGCACTGAATGTAGTACAGATATAATGCAGTGCTATGCACAGGGCCGGATTTCCCACAAGGCCAACCAAGGTCCCGGCCTCGGCGCAGCAGGGAGTACAGGGACAGCAGGGGTGTGGAATTCCTATCTCCCGATGCCTGGGACGTGAAGTTCCGGGTGCCGGGCAGGTAGTTGTTTTCTACATTTAGCCCTGCTTTGGGCAAGCAGAGCTAAATGTACAGCGGGGAAGCCGCCACTTGTGTTATACAAGTTATCTCGGTGATGTCGCCGAGATCACTTGTATGCAGCCTGCAGGTCTGCCATTCTCCATGTGGGAGGGAGGGAGGGTTCGCGGGTAAGGGGGCGCATTGAGGAACCTGGCCTTTGGGCAGCAGAGAAGTAAATCCGGCCCTGGCTATGCAGGCTTATTGCATGTGAACTGGCATTGTGGCATTAGCAACTTTTGCTTTTCAGTATTGTCATCATACACTACCAAATTTTGAGCAATAGATCATAGACCGACACCTGACATTTTCCTGTAGAATTGACTTAAAGGAGAACTATGGGGTTAAGGCTTTTCCCCATAGTTCTCCTTAGGGTAACGGGAGGACACAAACTAGCGTCCTCCCGTCACCCTAGGCTCAGTATACCGCGAGCTGTATCTTGCGGTATACTGAGACGCCGCAGCTGAAGCGGATCCCGACAATTGTGCCGGGATCCGCCCAGCTGCGTGACTGACAGCTGGCTCCGCCTATCTAGAGGCAGAGCCAGCTGTACCCGCCCCCTCCCCGTCCGTTCCGCCAGTCAGCGCTGGAGGATCGGAGCGGGGAGGGGGAATCCAGCCCCTCCCTTGTCACGGCAGAGAGTCATGACAGGATCGAGAGGTGAGTGAGCGCCGGTATGTATTCGCTCACCTCCCGATCTACTGAGCCGACCTGTGACAGTCTCATTGTCAAATATTTATTAAAACATTTTATTTACATTTTTATTTAATGTAGTGTTTTGTTTTGTTTTGGCATCTGATCATTATTTGTGTACTGTCCATTTTAATTTTTTTTCATGCTGTTTGTTTTTTTAAAATACATTAATTAATTAATATGAGGCTACAAGGATGAGTACAGGAGTAAAGGAGCTTTTATAACACCCAGGGGTAATTTAAAGCCAATTGCACCCTTTAAACCATCAAAAATAACCTTAATTATGCTTCTGGAGAAAATTTTACAAAAACGTCCAATTTTTGCTACATTTTTACAGAATTTAAAACTCTTAATTTTACTAATCCTTAGTGCTGTGATACAAGTTAATTGTATCTAAGATACAAGTTCTATCAACATGTTAAGATTTTTGATATCTGACCGTCAGTGCCCCCAGGAAGCTTGGAGTTAGCTTACCGGCCAATCAGGAATCCAGGGCCGGATTTCCTACAAGGCCAACCAAGGCCCGGCCTTGGGGCAGCAGGGAGTAGAGGGGCAGCAGGGGTGAGGAATTCCTATCTCCCGATGCCCGGACATGCAGTTTTGGGCGCCGGGCGGGTAGTTGTTTTCTACATTTAGCCCTGCTTTGGGCAAGCAGAGCTAAATGTACAGCGAGGAAGCCACTGCTTGGTTTGTATGCAGCCTGCAGGTCTGCCATTCTCGATGGGGGAAGGGGCCCTTTTGGCGGGTAGGAGGGTGCATTGAGGAACCTGGCCTTTGGGCAGCAGAGAGAGTAAATTCGGCCCTGGCAGCCTCCCGGCTTCCTGATTAGCTGGAAAGCCGGCTTCACGTTGCCTAGCAACACTGCGGGGCAACCTGGCTTCCTGATTGGCCGGGAAGCTATACCCCGCCTACCTTGGGAAGCCGATATTGGTACTCAATATCTGTGAGTACCAAGAAAAAAAATAGCAGTACTCGTATTTGCTATCGAGGAATCGGTATCCGTGCATCTGTAGTTTTCACACATCTTTCACCAAGAATTCCAAATTAATCCATTTAGGAAAATGTGGGAACTTTGAGTGAACTTTATGTGAATCATGGGTGAAAACATTTATAAATTAATCCAATTAGTGATGACACATTGCACATACAAACATCATAATATACACTGAGTGGCCAGATTATTATGACCACCCCATCAGTACTTCGTTGGGCCGCCTCGTGACTCCACGAGATGATGAAAGGTGATGCGAGGAATCTGACACGGCACTGTTGCCCTTCTGTTGTCTTGTACCAGTCTTGCCCCTCCCCCGTTCTGCCCTAACATTGACTAGTCGCTGACGGCCACAATTCGCACGTTCAGACCCAGATTTTCGGCTGACAGTCCGGTCTTTAAACACTTTAACAATGAGCCCCTCTTGAACATGTAACGAATTCTGCTGTTTTGCTGATACTCGCTCCATGGCTCCGAGCGCCAACAATCATCCCGCGTTCAAAGGCTGTTACATCGCGTTGTTTCCCCGTATCTTCAGAAACAAATCACTTCTACTGTCGTGGTAACCAACCTGCTTCCCTATTTATAATGGTCTGGCCCTCTAGCAACTTCAGAGCCAAATTATAGCTAATTTGCCTACAAACGTCAGGTGGTTATAATAATCTGGCCACTCAGTGTATTTGTAGTCTAAGTACTGACCGCGTAAAGTTATTTGATGAAAAGTAACAATGTTACATTGTTTTTAAACAGAGTAACTTTAGTACATTTTGTTTTTCTTTTTACTGGATTCCCAGGTTAAGCAGCGCCCAGGGCCTGGAAATCAAGAACATGGGCAACCGGTCCACCTTGACGGTAGCAAACGTCACCGAAGAGCATTATGGGAACTATACCTGTGTGGCCGCCAACAAGCTGGGAATCACCAACACCAGCCTGTATCTCTATAGTGAGTATAATAACACCCAACACCAGTCTGTCTGTCTATAGTGAGTATAATAACCCCCAACACCAGCCTGTATCTCTATAGTGAGTATAATAACCCCCAATACCAGCCTGTATCTCTATAGTGAGTATAATAACCCCCAACACCAGTCTGTATCTCTATAGTGAGTATAATAACCCCCAACACCAGTCTGTATGTCTATAGTGAGTATAATAACACCCAACACCAGCCTGTATCTCTATAGTGAGTATAATAACCCCCAATACCAGCCTGTATCTCTATAGTGAGTATAATAACCCCCAACACCAGTCTGTATCTCTATAGTGAGTATAATAACCCCCAATACCAGCCTGTGTCTCTATAGTGAGTATAATAACCCCCAATACCAGTCTGTATCTCTATAGTGAGTATAATAACCCCCAATACCAGCATGTGTCTCTATAGTGAGTATAATAACCCCCAATACCAGCCTGTATCTCTATAGTGAGTATAATAACCCCCAATACCAGCCTGTATCTCTATAGTGAGTATAATAACCCCCAATACCAGCCTGTATCTCTATAGTGAGTATAATAACCCCCAATACCAGTCTGTATCTCTATAGTGAGTATAATAACCCCCAACACCAGTCTGTATGTCTATAGTGAGTATAATAACACCCGACACCAACCTGTATCTCTATAGTGAGTGTAATTACCCCCAACACCAGTCTGTATGTCTATAGTGACACACACAACCGGCCTGCATCTGTATAATGAGTATAATCACCGCCAACGCCGGCCTGTATCTCTATAGTGAGCAAAAAAATCTCCAACTCTGACCTATATGCCTATAGTGAATATAATAACCTCCAACACCAGCCTATAACCTAAAAAGTCATTGAACGCCAGCCAAAAGCATTATGTTGTGATATGGTATAGCGTGGGGGTATGGCATTAGTTAGACCTGTTTTTAATATTAGCGCTCAAGCAACCAGAAACTACATATATCTGGCGACATTTGTTTGGTTCTTCCTGTCCCGGTGACGTCCGCTCCCCCATTTCTCACAGTGACAAGAAGTGAGGGAATCTCCCACCAATGGTGGTCACAAACAGGAATTGAAACATCGAAGAATTTGTCTCTTCCACACTCTATCCAAATCCTAAATCTTAAAACTGTTTGGAGTTGGGCTTTAAAGGCTCAGTCCATGTCATAATGATATGTCAGGTTGACATTTGACTGGTGGAGTCACCTTCTGGATTCCTATATTGTTTGGGGATTTAAGGTGAGAGATTTCCATATTTTCTACCCACCTTGGAGTCCTGGGTTTTCCTAATTATTTCGATTCAGTAGAGTGGGAGCCCCACATATTGGCATTGGCAGGTGTGCAGACCATGGGAACTCAGAGATCTCACGTATTTGGGGGGCCGGCTGCAAGTGCCAGGAAGGGACAGCTGGTTCCCCATGATATAAAAATGAAAGATGGCAGCATGGGACAGGACCCGGTGTGAGAGAAGAGAAGAACGCTGGAACCACGGGGACTGTAAGTATCTTAATGCAGCAGAGACTGGACACTTCACATTGGGTGTGGAAGTTACAATGTCCGCCAGCAGCAGCTTTAGCACAGAAAGCTTCTCCATAGATGCTCCATGCAGGCAGCCATCTTCCTGCTTTTGCTTCTTCTGGATATACCCACCATCAAAGGCAGCTGATATTCAACTTAACCTCTAGCACAACTTCTTGACTGGGACAAGGTCCAGAGGAGAAAGACCCTTCTGGAAGGTTGCTCCAAATATTTATCAGCCTACCCCGCTGGAACAAAACCCACTGTGATTGCCCACGGTGGATAAATATTCATAATTCCTACATTGTTTCCTTCTTAAATTAACTCCTGAAGACCATCAGCAGGAGGATATAATGAGCTTTGGCAGACCAGCCGACTACAGAAAATGTAAATGAAGCTCAAGCCGGTCACAGCCTAGCTGTAAAAGCAACACTTAGGGATCTATTTATGAACAATATACAGAGCTATTGGCCCTCAAATCTCCGTATGAATGGATGCACATATCAAATGTTCTTATATATTTCCTTTATAAGCAGAATGTACTTTTGGAATGTCATCTTATAATAGCCCAATATGGCCACTAGATGGAGCTGAGGAGCATATAAAATAAATACTTCTTTCCTATGCTCTTCACTGCCATCCAGTGGCCATAATGTGGTATTACATGATTGCAATGGAAAATACATTCGACTCATAAAGGTTGTGATATTTGGGGAATTTAGCACAAATTTGGAGTGCTCAAAGACCTGTCTCAAAGCCACGTTAGCATAAAACAAAACAGTATTTTATTGCTTCCAGAACAGAAACAAGCTTTTCGTCAGCAATACAACATGTAGTCTGCTTATATTTCAGCAAGTAGTCAATAACTGTATAGCAATGTCTCACCAACTCAACATTGTCACATATACTCCATGTGACTCTGCCACACATCCCTCAGGTGTCACAGGCTCACTAAGCCTCCTTGGTTGATTCCCGGGTGCCTCCAGTGCACACACAACCACCTGGCTCCACTGTGGCTTCTAGGTGGAGTCCGCCTGACTCCTGGACACAGCCTGTCCCTCTTCCGAGCAGGAGCCCTCATGTGCATGCAGCCCACACCTCACCAACTCTACCCTGAGCTCTGGTCTGGGCTCTTAATGAGGCTGCTCTCAGCCACCTGACCACTGGCAACACCTGACCTAATGACTGGGGGTTTTCATCCCTAAAAGGTGCCCATACACTGTGCGATTATCGCACGATAATCGTGGGAAATCCCGCGATCGTACGATAATCACAAAGTGTATGGAACGCGTGCAACCGTTTTTACTGTACGGTCGCACGCCTTTTGTCTAAGGAGCATGCTAGATCGTAAGATCAATGCCGCACGGGCCGGTGTGCGCACGCGCACACTGCCCGTTCAGCATTGCGGTCATCGGAGGCCCGCCCCTCAGGGGGGCGGACTTGCGATGATCGCAAGTACGATCTGCCTGTCCAAGATGGGCAGATCGTACGTTTATTTAATAACTTTACAACCATCGCAAGACTAAGGTCTTGCAAGAAACCGAAAGGCCAGCTACTTCCCTGCAAATCTATGTATATTCTGGAACCTCACCCCTGGGTGACTGTGTTGCCAGCATACTCCGTGGTATTGCCAAGCACTAGACATGTGCGATTCGTTTCGTTCCGAATCGAAATTCGGACTAATTTTCGGAAATTCGGACATTTGGATGTATCTGAATTCCGAATTACAGACATAACGAATGCAAACGAATCCGAATTTACATTTCCGAAATTCGGTAGCGTTAGTACGAACGTTTGTTTCGTTTTCTGTTCTTATTCGTTTCGTTCATTGGAGCAAAGTGACATTAGAGAAGGAGAAAAATAAGAAACGAATACGAAACGAATAAGAACAGAAAACGAAACGAACGTTCGACCTACCGCTACCGAATTTCATACGAATTCCGAATCCGAATTGACTTTCACACCCGAATCCCGAAAAACAAAATAACACAAATCCGAATTTAAAACGAAACGAAATTAAACGATTTTTTTGGCAGTGCACATGTCTACCAAGCACTGCCACGAGGTAATATAACAGGAACGTCTTTTGTGCATCCATTCGCGCAGAACGAACATGCACAAGGCCAGAGGCTCTGCAAATCGTTTATAAAATGACCCCCTACATTTAGCTACGGACACTCCAGCTTAAAGCAAGCTTTAGAAGTATCAAGTGAACTTAAATATAAAATCCATGAATACAAATTCCAGGAACCTGAATAGATGAGAGATGGAAGCTCACATAAACGGTAAAGGATCACAAGTGACAGCAGGAGCGGAGACGCCTGTGCCATTCTGCGCCTAAGCGGCACTTTATGGAGCTCTGAATGGTCCCCAGTGGGGCTGAAGGAATAAACAGCGTTTGGCTGGCAAGTAAGATTATAATAGTAACGTTCAGAATTGTTTACTGTTGCCGAAGACTTTTTATGTTTCTCCTAACCAATGAATCATTTAAACGCATGTTTATGTAACTGGTGCATCCAGACGGAACCCGTGTCCCAGTAATGAGTGGATGCTGATCCCCAGAATGACCTACTGCAGGAGGTAGGTAACCTAGGCACTCCAGCTGTTGTGACACTACAAGTCCCATGAGGCATTGCAGGACTCTGGCAGCCACAGTCATGACTCCCAGAGGCAGAGGATGACAGGATTTGTAGTTTCACGACAGCTGGGGTGCCGAGGTTGACTAGCCCTGCCCTAGCGGCTTCTTTGAGCATCAGTCTATCCCAATTTTGTTCTGTTTTTGACTGATGAGAGAGAGTCGGCAATTTATTTACAATGTGTTTTCTTGGTTTTGGATAGACCGAGTGGGTGGGACGCCAGCCAGAGCATTCCTGATTGCTGAGAGTTGGGATGTGTATAGAGGGGAGAAGAGAGAAAAAGAGTCCGCTGTCTCTGTGGGTTAGCAAACTTTTTCCTGACCCCCTTCAAGTGGCACCCAGCGCATGTGCCATACCCTGGATATGCCATGCGTTACAACCCTGGTCAGATTTCTTCCATCTGCGTCCCATTAGGGAGATTTCACTTCCTGTCTGATAGCCACAACAGGAAGTGAGAGGAAGTCATTAATATTAAAAGATTTCAAACCTTCAAGACTGTGGCCGGTCACCCTCATTAGACCTGACAGAGGTTCTAACTAGGGATGCACCTAGCATACTAGTATCGGTATTGGTGCCGATACCAAGTATTTGGGCGATTTCTCGTACTTGCCCAAATGCTCTCAGTACTTATCCCAATACCGGCACTTTACCAGGGAGCATGGAGGTGGCTTCCCGGCCAATCAGGAAGCCGGGGGGTGGGTAATGACTTCTGATTGGCCGGGCAGATGGCTCCATGCTCCCTCGTCACCAAGTGACGAGGGAGCATGGAGCAGGCTGCCCGGCCAATTCAGACTTCAATGATTGGCTGCCAGGCTTCCTGATTGGTCAGTAAGCTGGCTAATCAGGAAGCCGGGTGTTGAGTCATTACACACTGCCCAGCTTCCTTAACGGGACTTCCAGGTTACCGGAAAAAAATATATCGGTACTTGTTACCGAACAACCAGTATCAGTGCATTCCTTGTTCTAACCCCATCAATGCTCCAAAACATTTTTGGCTTTTGATACTTTAAGAAGCCCTTAGGGAATTCAACCTGCTAAAGCCCAATCAGACCAAAAACTTCTAGGTGCCGGACCCTTTGATTCCCCACACTCCATTAAACTAATATTAAAAGACTTCAAACCTTGAGGACTTTGGTGGGTCACCCTGATTAGACCTGGCATGGGTTCTAACCCCATCGCTGCTCCAAAATGTTTTTTGGCTTTTGACACTTTAAGAAGTCCGGACATAACCTGCTAAAGCCCAATTAGACCAGATGCATCTAGGTGCCGGACCCTTTGATTCCCCACACTCTATTTTGTCTTGATATGAGCAAACACTAATAATAAAATACTTTAAACCTTCAGGACTTTGGTGGGTCACCCTAATTAGACCTGATAGGGGTTCTAACCCCATCACCGCTCTAGAAAGTTTTCGGCTGTTGATACTTTAAGAAGCCTGTAGGGGACTCAATTTCCTAAATGTTTCAGACCAGAAACATCTCGCTTCCTAACCCTTTAATTCTAATAAAGAAAAAAAAATGTGTTTTCAGGTTTAATCTGCTGTTTGGGAGTCCCACGGACACATTCAAGGAAGGATTTAGCTTCCCGAGCAACATGGGGTTAAGCCGGGGACTATTAATAAAATAATCTCCTTCCCGGGACTTAAAGTGGCACTTGTTTGTAGAAGGCGATTCATGAATTATTGAGCGTGTGGGCGCATTAAATATGAATGGCGCTTGAAATCCTGGGCCGGCTCCACGTCCCTTTTTTTTATTTTGGTGGGGAGGCCTAAATGTTTCAGAAAGCTTTCAAATGTCACCGTCGCCTCGTCCGATGTTGAAAAGCGCGATAGACTTTAATGTGCTAAGTGCTGCCGGCTTGTAATAACAGTGATTAGGTTAGGGAGGGACGCCTGGTGCGGAAAAGCGGAAATTTCTGCCTGCCGGACAAAAGGCGCCTGGGTGTCAGGTGTGATCGGAGGCCTCCGCTTAACAAAAGGCCGGAGGGGACGGGGGGCTTCTGCCATGTGCGATTCGTTTTGTTTTCCGAATGAAAATTCGGATGAATTTTCCGAAATTCGGAAACTCCAATGCATGCGAATGTGTCCGAATCCGGAATCCCGTGAATTTCGGTTCCCGTCCCAATTCTGTTCAAAAACAAAACTGAATCGGACATGTGACTTTTCTGGCCAATCAGATGTGTTTTTTTCGGTTTAATGCATTTGAATGGGTCTGAACACGAATTTTCGTTACGGCAACATGGGAGCCGTATACAGTATATACATATAATACTAAAGCTGAGGCTCCCAGACCCAAATGGCATTCAGGAGCTCCCCAATGCAATTCGGAAATTCGGATCCTGAACCCCATTTGGGTCTAGGGGCCTCAGCTTTAGTATTAATATCTGTTTATGTCTTTCTGTGGTATTCGCAACGAATATTCGGATTTCGTCCAAATCCGAAAGCCCGAACCGAACTGAATTTCGGATCCGAATCCCGAAAATAACCAAACCGGATTTTTCCGCAGCTTACATGTCTAATAGACAGATAGATAGATAGATAGATAGATAGATAGATAGATAGATAGATAGATAGATAGATAGATAGATAGATGGATAGATAGTTATAGAGATATAGTTATAGAGATAGATCTATACATAGATAGATAGATAGATAGATAGATAGATAGATAGATAGATAGATAGATAGATAGATAGATAGATAGATAGGAGATGGATGGAATTAATTGATTTGTACTTCTGCCACCGCCAAAAAGTGAACCCACTCAGCAGCCAAGGGGTTAATGTCCGTATCCTGTTCCGCGCTCACGAAATGGCGCCCCGGCCCAGAGTCCACCCCGGACCTCTGATGGCCCTGTAATGTCTGATATAAATGTTCTGCAAACACTTGAATTAAATTAGAGAATCTTGTTGCAGCGCTGACATGATTCGGCGGAACGTTCAATGAGAGTGAGGGATGAGAATGAAGAAAGAGAATAGTGAGAGCGGAGAGCACACACACACCGTCACCACTCAGTCTCTGACCCCGAGCCAAATAAATCCGATTGCAATGTGGAAATATAGCGGTTAGGAAGGTTTCAGGTTTTCGGGCCGCAGCACCACCTGGTGGTTCGTTCTAAATCTGCAGGACAAAAAGAAATATCCTCTGCACCCTCTCTTGTGCCAATGAATTGGCAGAGTGCAAAGTTTCGGATTCACCTGAGTATGTGAATTAGCAGTGTGAGGACCTTACCACTGTGCTCCTATGCCTTCATTGTCCAATCAGCAGGCAGGGGGGTGTGTCCTTGCTGAACAATGCTGCCCATGGTTAGGGGGGAGGTCAAGGATCTGGCTGCGCTGTTTGCAGGATCACTTGGCAGTAACATTAATCAATTGCTGATGTCACTCTATACAGCATCTGTATCATCTGCTCATACAAGCTGTACCATAAAAAGCCGTCCTTAATTCCAGTCCAGTGACTTTGTCTAGCCTGAGATGATGTCATCAGTCTGCTGCAGGCAAGAGGAAGCATTTCCACTGTCTCCCCTCCCCCAGTGATCAGTCTGCTGCAGGCAGGAGGAAGCATTCTCTCTCAGTCACCCCTCCCCCAGTGATCAGTCTGCTGCAGGCAGGAGGTAGCATTTCCTTAGGGGGAGAGAGGAGCGCTCTCATTATCCAATCACCTTTTACCATCGGCTCCTCCAGGTCTGAGCGCGGTAATTCAATGTTTTGTATCTTTATTTATTTATTTTGTTTGCATTTTGTGTTGTCCATTTTTGGTTTATATGTTTTTTTTCCCCTCCTCCTCCAGAGCGCGCCATTCCCACAAAACCCATCCCCGCCTCAGGTCAGTATTACGTAGATACCTCGCTTGGGTCATTCTCCAAAAACATGTGATTCAAAGAGCGGCTCCCACAGCGGCGAATACGGGGGAGAGTGCCATAGACATAATATTTCAATTCAGATAGATAGATAGATAGATAGATGGATAGATAGTTATAGAGATATAGTTATAGAGATAGATCTATACATAGATAGATAGATAGATAGATAGATAGATAGATAGATAGATAGATAGATAGATAGATAGATAGATAGATAGGAGATGGATGGAATTAATTGATTTGTACTTCTGCCACCGCCAAAAAGTGAACCCACTCAGCAGCCAAGGGGTTAATGTCCGTATCCTGTTCCGCGCTCACGAAATGGCGCCCCGGCCCAGAGTCCACCCCGGACCTCTGATGGCCCTGTAATGTCTGATATAAATGTTCTGCAAACACTTGAATTAAATTAGAGAATCTTGTTGCAGCGCTGACATGATTCGGCGGAACGTTCAATGAGAGTGAGGGATGAGAATGAAGAAAGAGAATAGTGAGAGCGGAGAGCACACACACACCGTCACCACTCAGTCTCTGACCCCGAGCCAAATAAATCCGATTGCAATGTGGAAATATAGCGGTTAGGAAGGTTTCAGGTTTTCGGGCCGCAGCACCACCTGGTGGTTCGTTCTAAATCTGCAGGACAAAAAGAAATATCCTCTGCACCCTCTCTTGTGCCAATGAATTGGCAGAGTGCAAAGTTTCGGATTCACCTGAGTATGTGAATTAGCAGTGTGAGGACCTTACCACTGTGCTCCTATGCCTTCATTGTCCAATCAGCAGGCAGGGGGGTGTGTCCTTGCTGAACAATGCTGCCCATGGTTAGGGGGGAGGTCAAGGATCTGGCTGCGCTGTTTGCAGGATCACTTGGCAGTAACATTAATCAATTGCTGATGTCACTCTATACAGCATCTGTATCATCTGCTCATACAAGCTGTACCATAAAAAGCCGTCCTTAATTCCAGTCCAGTGACTTTGTCTAGCCTGAGATGATGTCATCAGTCTGCTGCAGGCAAGAGGAAGCATTTCCACTGTCTCCCCTCCCCCAGTGATCAGTCTGCTGCAGGCAGGAGGAAGCATTCTCTCTCAGTCACCCCTCCCCCAGTGATCAGTCTGCTGCAGGCAGGAGGTAGCATTTCCTTAGGGGGAGAGAGGAGCGCTCTCATTATCCAATCACCTTTTACCATCGGCTCCTCCAGGTCTGAGCGCGGTAATTCAATGTTTTGTATCTTTATTTATTTATTTTGTTTGCATTTTGTGTTGTCCATTTTTGGTTTATATGTTTTTTTTCCCCTCCTCCTCCAGAGCGCGCCATTCCCACAAAACCCATCCCCGCCTCAGGTCAGTATTACGTAGATACCTCGCTTGGGTCATTCTCCAAAAACATGTGATTCAAAGAGCGGCTCCCACAGCGGCGAATACGGGGGAGAGTGCCATAGACATAATATTTCAATTCATTTGAAAATGGGCGGTGCCTTGTTGTATTGTATTATATGCAGGGTTTCCCTTATTTTGTCCATCTCTCTAGATCCATTTATTAACAATAGCATGGCACACTGCGCCACCTGAAGGCTAACTGGGGGCACTGCACTTTAATGAAGGAACACGTCAGTGTCTCTCAATACCATGTGACAAATGCTCCTCACACTAATAATAACCAATGATTCCTAAAACACACATCCAGCCAAATCAATAGCTACCATTAAGCCTAATGCAATCAGGAGACGCTGACCTGTGTATATGAACGAGAAGCCAAAAACTAAGGTGCCCATGTTACCGATGGTACCTATGGTGGCCCATAGGTGACATTTTAATGGTTGATTTGCTTCATCCCCAGGCCACGGCAGCCAAGCCATGACAGCCTGAAGCTGGAAGGGACAAAAAGCTTATCGCTTCTGGGTTCATTCACTGCAGGCATGTTCGCTGATCACCCCCCACATCTGGGCACCCGGGGGGCGGAGCATGACCTGAAAAATACATTTTTATATGCCCCACTACCCGTTCCTTTTTATTTTCACTTTCTAGCTGAGCAATGGCCTCCTCATGGGATGCCTGCCATCACCAGATCCTACACCACTGCAGGACATAAGGACATGGGGCCAGTGGAAAAGCACAGTGCATGACTAGGGTGGGAGGGGACTAAGGAATCTGACACAACCAGAAGTGTCAAATGTGAGGATGTTTGAGGCATGGCATTCATAGCTTAAACAGAACGAGGTTCAGAGGAATGCCATAGTGTGTAGTGTGTTGGCACTGCAATATGCCAACACGTGTAACATGCATGCAATGCATGCATTAATATGCACACTACCACAATGCAATGCAGCAGGAACGTGTCTTTTGGCCATTATAGGGGGTTGTGACAAGGACAGGAAGTAAAGGAAGATCTCCCCTTCGGTGGTCACAGGCAGATATAAAAGACCTCTTTTGCACTGACCATGTAAAAGCTGCTGCAGACCATTTTGGTTTCTCCTGCGTCTGCTCTGACTGCTGCTGTCCAAGGTCCTGAAGGATCCCACAACCGGCAGATTCTGTGGAGGAATTGCTCTGATTTTAGAGCTTATTACTGTAGAGTTGATCGTCATCAAATAGCATAAGTTAGATCATTGTAATCTAGGGATATGCACTTAGGTTTGGTTGTTCAGTATCCATTTACAGGGAATGTGAGAGGTACTAGAGTACCAAAAACGTAATATGAGTTCTGTAAATCTTTATATTTCACAAGAAAGCAAATTCTGATAAATAGGGAGAAGATTGGACAACAGATTGTAAAGTAAAGGGATACAATGGTGCTGGTTCAGGTCGCTGACCAGCAGAGGAGTATCTTCAAAAACTTGCGTCCTGCCCAGCTCCGGGCAACCAGTGATGTTGCTGGGCGGGATGCCGACCAGAGCATCCCAGGTCCCAGGTTGTTAAGAACTGGATGGGGAGATAAGTGAGGACCATACACATCTCCCCGTATGGCTCTTAGCAACCTGGGATGCTCTGGTTGTCATCCTGCCTGCATACACGTCTCCCCACCGGCTCTGGTTGCTAAGAGCTGGGCAGGGAGATGTCTATGGCACTTACACATCTTCCCGTCCAGCTCTTAGCAACCTGAGATGCTCTGACCAGCGTCCTGCCCAGCTCCTGGCAACCAGTAACGTCACTGGTTGCCAGGAGCTGGGCGGGACACCAGCTAGGGCGTCCCAGGTTGCTAAGAACTGGGAGGGAAGATGTACGAGCACCATACACATCTCCCCTCCCAGCTTTTAGTAACCAGGGATGATCTGGCTGGAATCCCAACCAGCTCCTGGCAACCAGTGATGTTGCTGGTTGCTAGGAGCTGGGCGGGACGTCGGCCAGGGCATCTCAGGTTGCTAAGAGCTGGACGGGAAGATGTGTAAGTGCCATAGACATCTCCCCTCCAAGCTTTTAGTAACCAGGGATGATCTGGCTGGAATCCCAACCAGCTCTTGGCAACCAGTGATGTTGCTGGTTGCTAGGAGCTGGGTGGGACGCCGGCCAGGGCACCCCTGGTAGCTAAGAGCCGGGCGGGGAGATGTGTATGGGAGAGAAAAAAAGTCAGCTGTTTCTGCGGGTCGGCAAATGTTCGCTGACCCTCTGAGCAGTGCCAGCCTCTTCAAGTAGCACCTATGGCATGTGCCCTATGTGCCATATCCTGGATACTCCACTGCTGGTCAGGTATTCTTCCTGTTGCCTGTCCGCATCTAATCCTTGATGAAGGGGACTATTGAGCCCCCGAAACACGTTTTTTAACATTTTGACCTCCTGTCCCGATTAACTGGACTCACATTATATCTTTGGCTGCTCTCTTCCTCCTCTAGACTACTCCAGGGACCCCACAAGCTTACCCCGGCTGACAGAGAGCTGCCTCTAAAATTTGGATTTCAAGTGATACCCCTCCTGTTTTGGGTCCAGTGGTCTACCAACACGTCTATCACTGAAGTGTATATTTATAGGTCAGGGCTATATGTCACATAAGCACTGCATGGGATTTGGAGAATGACTCAGGCTTGTCCTTCAGCACTTCTTAGAATGTCTCTTACCGTAGATGAACACTCCGTAGAACACTTGTTACTAACATTTTATTATTATTATTAAATAGTATTTATAAAGTGCCAACAGTTTGCGCAGCGCTTTACAATATAAGGAAGACATTACAATCACAATACAATTCAAGACAAGATGGTAAGGAGGGCCCTGCCCGTGAGGGCTTACAATCTGAAAGATTGGAAGAATAGATAAATTAATCCCGCATTCTTCTCACATCACCAGATCAAAGTTCCATTTCATCTTACAGGAGACCAGCCACGGCTTCTGATGCACCAGCTGCGGTGGAAGAACAAGAGTCAGAGGGCCTAGTAACCGCAGGGTATTCTAGGACCTGCTGGGATTTGTGGTTCCACGGCAGCTGGTCGGAGGAATCTGTCTTGGAATTTAATACTTGAGTGAAAAACTGCCAAAGGACGCTGCCTATCCGGCAATGAAACGCATTGGGGTATTCGGCCTCAGAACCGGTTCCCTTTAAATGAGACAATCAAACCATGTTACACCTCGCTTGGCTGTTCTTCCTGTTGCTGTCCATGGTCCAGACGTATCTTTGAAATAGCAGATCCTATCCAAGTAGAACGAAGGAATAGGTTGAATTTTTCAATTGTAAACAATTTGCAGGGCTGTTCACCTTGCGAATATCTGTGAATATATCTGAACATTTGCTCAAAGTTCTTTATTATTTTAGGGCTGTGCAAATTAACGATTAATTTCTCGACTAATCGGTAATCTTTTTGATCGATTAAAATTTTTTTGAAACTTTCTGCACGAGCGCCAGCCAAGGCATTGGCCTATACACATACAGCACAGCAATGAAGTCATAAAATGAACTAGGATCACAGTAATCCAGCACGTTATTATTCTGAGTTGCCCCACTCAAGCGGCGGCCATATTGAGTGGGTCACGTGAGATTAAT